GAGTGGCATCTGGTGTGGTCTTCTGCTGCTGTAGCCCATCTACTTCAAAATGTGACGTGTTGTGTGTTCAGAGATGGTATTCTGCATACCTTGGTTGTAATGAGTGGTTATTTGAGTTACTGTTGCCTTTCTATCATCTTGAACCAGCCTGCCCTTTCTCCTCTGACCTCTGATATCAACAAGGCATTTTCGTCCACACAACCATCGGCTTTAATATGGAACCTCCACTCTTTCTTCTTTGCAGCTATAACAGCCTTCACTCTTATGGGATAGCTCTACATTAGAATTTGAGCTGTGTTTTGTGGGAATTAAAAGAACATTTTATGAACTCAGGTACTGATGTTGGATGAACAGGATTGACTTACTGGCAGCTTCCAATTAATTCCAGTAACTCAGGTTCCTCCATACAAAATGTCTCAATCAGAATATTTATGGGCCTGGATTTATATTATTAAACTATATAATTTAAATTATTTGATCACATTATTTTGAAAAAAAAAAAAATCCCTAGCATAGTTAATATACTAACCCTTTGACGTGCAAAATATGTACTCACAACCTGATATGAACCTCCTTTTTTTTTTCATAGAACCTGTCAACTATGAGTACCGAGCTGTAGTCAAAAATGGTTCAAAATTATAATAATGATGAAGAGCAGACTTTTTTTAGACTTGTAGGATAATCACAGGAAAACTGTTGTCAGAATGTTCCAAAGACAGTACTTGTAAAAGCAGACCTATTTTTACAAATATTTCCTGTTTTTAAATAACAGTAATTTACATTTTGATTACATCACCCCAAGTGTAACATGTGAAAACTTTCATCACGCTGACTTTCGGAACTGATTTTGAGGTATGCACAGCTTATTAGTGGAATTCTAAAACAAACAATTATACATAATTGAAGAGACATGTACAGTAATAAGTGAAAAAATATTTAACATGGTAAATTAAGCAGAATAAGACAAATGTCAATGAGCCATATTAGTAACTTTTAATTTTGCAGCTGTGATTTTTCTATTGTGCTTTTGGATTATATTTTTATTTTTATTTTTCATTTATTTAATTATCATTAGATAGGGTGTGTAGTGCTACCCCCTTAGGAGTCGCTGAGTTGTTTTCGGGCTCCCTGTCATTCTTGACCCCTCTCTGAAAGCCCAACCCCTGCTAACACCACAAGATTCCTTTAACCAGAGTAAATTAACACCAGAAAGTAAACTCACACAGATGTGAGTAAGCTGATATGAGGTTTATATTGAATTTCAATGTAGACTTGGTTGTACAGTACAAACTGATATTGATACTAGAAATGGCAAAAAATATAGCAGAAGTTCAATCAATTTTAGCAGGCCTTCAAAAAAATAATCCAATGCCTCTGACTTGAAGTGGTGTCAAACCCTCAACAAGGACTAGCAACAATGAGACTAGCTCACTTTGGGCCCTCAGAATCTGATGGTAAGGTTTAAACTGAAGTAAAAGAGCTCTTTGACCAGGGTAGTCATTGTCCCTTTAAGTACAGTGAGAACTCTTCTGCACGCTCACTTGGGCCCAGTTGGTGCACAGGTAGACAATGATGTAGGTTATAGTTCCTGGCAGGATTGATACAAAGGGGACTTGACACTTGACTTGAGCGTTGTCTCCTTTTAATGCGCTGGGAAAAAGAGCAGCTTTTAGGCACATAAAGTGTTAACTGGCAAATGGGCTTGTTGTATAAAGGGGCAACTCTGGGATGCAATGACCAATGGCAGGGGTGGTAGACATTCCTTTAGGAGCACTGCACTGCACAGGTGCACTGCGGTCCGCTCTGATAATTTAAGTGTACTGAAAATGGGTTCAACAGTGGCGACTATGGGAACTAGGCCAGAAAAGGTGTTAACTGAATGCAACGTCCACAACTGTGTGCAGGTAAATATTGAGGATATATGATAAGGCAAAGAGTTCAGATCTTCTAAAACAATAAATGGTCTACCATTGTATCATCCCAAAATTCAAGAGCAAAAGGAGTGTGTAAATATGTGGGACTTTAGATATAACTTTGGTAGCCATACAATACAAAAATTAATACAATTCATAAAAAAGTAAATTTTATTGCAGTATATAAAAAAGGTTTATCCAAGTTATATTGAAACACAACCACTATTGTATTTGCTGTATGTCCTTGCTAATTAGTCTACGTGTTTCGCTGCTTCCACCACTTCCTTAGGACCAACAAGGCACATGAATGGTTTAGAGGGTTGCAAAGATTATACAATCCTTTAAAATCATATTCTGAAACAAAAAGAAGAAAGAACATAACTATCATATAGAGCAGGGGTACTGAATTAAAATTCACGGAGGTCCGGTTGGTAACAATTTCTTTCTGCAGAGGTTCGAAACTCATTTTTTTTCTATTACTCAGGTCTTTCCCATTACAACCCCCTTTGCATTAATGTCCTCAGTCCCCCTTTTCCCATCACAGCCCCCCATACATCACAACTCAACAGCAATCACAATCCCCCCACATAACATCACACTCCCCCTCTCCTGACATCACAGACCCTTCATATCACAGCTCCCTCATCTCACATCACAGCCCCCCATATCACAGTTTCCCCATATAACAGCTCTTCTCACATCACAGCCCCCCATATCACAAATCTCCTTCTCACATCACAGCCCCCCAGTATTATAGTTTCTCCCTCTCAAATCACAAGTCCCTCCTATCATAGCCCCCCATTTCACAGCTCTTCCCCCTCACTTCACAGCCCCCCATATCACAGCTCCCCCTTCTCACTTCACAGCCCCCCATATCACAGCTCCATTCTCTCACTTCACAGCCCCCCATATCACAGCCCCCTCCTCTCACTTCACAGCCCCCCCCATCACAGCTCCCCCCTTACTTCACAGCCTCCCATATCACTGCTCCCCCCTCTAAAAGCACCCACATATCACAGCTTCCCCCTCTCACAGCCCCACCATTTCACAGCCCCCCACATCACAGCTCCCCCATATCACAGTTCCCCAATCTCACAGACCCCCCCATATCACAGATCCCCCCTCTGATATCACAGCCCCTCTCTACTGCATATTCTTCCCCATACCTTAACACATTGTGGAGGGTGGAGGGTGGGAGGAATAGCGAGGTGGACTCATGTTCTATATGTACTCATCTGCCGCTGCCATCGTCGCCGCTGCTGTTGAAATCACAGTGAAAAGAGGATTGGAAGGAAGGACTCCTCTTCTGAATGCACTCGCTTGCCGCCGCCACCACTGAACTCAGAGCAGGGAGGAGGGTAGGAGGAATGGAAGGAGTACTGCTCTTCTGAATGTACCAGCTTGCCATTGTTGAACTCAGGGAAGGGAGGAGGACGGGAGGCATAGAAGGTTTCCAATGAGGGTGGGAGCAACCCAACTCTTCCTGGTAAAAAGCAAGTGACCAGGATGGAAGGTTTGCACCCCTTCCCCGCTCCCCTGTAGACCTGCACCGTTTCCCGCCCTCCTCCCAGCTCTGAGTTCAACGGCGGCAAGCCAGTACATTCAGAAGAGGAGTCTGTCCTTCCATTCCTCCTGCCCTCTTCCCTGCTGAAATTCAACAGCAGCAGCGACAACGGCCACGGCAGAAGAGTACATACAGAACAGGAGTCCACCCTGCCATTTCTCCTGATTATTAACAGCTACAGCGGTGGGAAAGAGAGGAGTCCACTCAGGCGCTAAGTGGTGTGGCCGCAGTCCAGACAGGACTATCACTCGGTCCATATTCGGACTGCGGTCCACCATTTAGTGATGCCTGATATAGAGATTGTATATTCAATTGATACATGCAGTATCAGAAATACCCCATATATGTGAGAGATAACCATATCATTATTAATAATTTCTTACCCCTAATATGTAGACTGAGGGAGAAAAGAAATTATATATCTTTACAGTTGTGTTCTACGAATGCGCCCATGAGAGTAATTCCTAGAAGTAAACAATTTCATATATTTAGTCATTATTTTCTTAAACAATAGTAGGCTCTCTCCTATCTTACAAGCATCAGATCTCACAATATAATATAACTGGAGTATATGGGCTCACCTATAACAATACTCATATCGGTAATTTTGGAGATTAAGTGCAATTGGCAACGGATCCAATATAGTTAGGCCCAGACCTCAGGTGTTGTATCAGCCTAGGTCTAAACAGAACAATATAGTATAGATGGTCTATTGCCTAAGCAGTAATAAATATTTAACATGAAAATAATTAACACAGAAAGGAAAAAAAAATATATATATATATACAAATGTAAAGTATCTCATCAAATCAATATAGGTGTTTGGTGGCATAATAACTCATTACTTAACAGGCTCGCCTATTAAAAATTGATGATTATAACTCAAACAGGGTATTAGTACTCCTCTTTAATTGTATCCAAGTGTCACTATCTCCAAAGATGTTTGGCACAAATATGCAATGCTCTATAGGTCTGAATATAAATCAGACAAAAAGATATCAATATAATACCACTTGCCTACTGGGCACTTTCACCTCCTTCCTGACCAGACCAATTTTCAGCTTTCAGCTCTGTGGCACTTTGAATGACAATTGTGTGGTCATGCAACACTGTAACCAAATATATACCCAAATATCATTCTTTTAAGACAGATAGAGCCTTCTTTTGGTGGCATTTAATCACCACTGGATTTTTTATTTTTTTGCTAAACAAACTAAAAAGACAACATTTTGAAAAAAAGTTTTTCTTAGTTTCTGTTATAAAATGTTGTAAATAAGTAATTTTTCTCCTTCACTGATGTGTGCTAGTGGGCATTGATAGGCGGCACTGATAGACAGCACTAATAGATGGCACTGATGGGTACTTACAGGCATCATTTATGGGCACTGAAAGGCAGCACTGATGGGCACTGACTGGCACTGATAGGTGGCACTGATAGGCGGCTCTGATAGGTGGCACTGATGTATACTGATAGACTGCACTCATTAAGAAGCACTGATAGGCGGCACTGATGGGCTTTGACAGGCATCACTGATGGGCACTGAAAGGCAGCACTGATATGTGGCACTGATGGGCACTGATATGTGGCACTGATAGGCATCACTGACTGGCACTGATTGCACTGATAAGTGGCAGTGATGGCCACTGATAGGCAGCACTGACTGGCACTGATAGGTGGCACTGATGGGTACTGATAGACTACACTGATGAGGAGCCACTGATAAGTGGCACTAATGGACATTGACTGGATTCATTAATGGGAACTGAAAGGCAGCTCTTATGGGTACTGGCATTGATGGGCACTGATATGTGGCATTGATGGGCACTGATCGGCAACAATGATGAGCACTGAAAGGTAGCACTAATGGGGCTGCACTGATGATCAGTGTAGATGTCCCTTTTGAGGAATGCCGCTTACCGGCTCTCCTCTCCTCATACACTGTGAGCGTGAGGAGAGGACTGTCGATCACCAGCGTTTCCTGTTTACATATGATTAGCTGTAATTGGACACAGCTAATCACATGGTAGAGCCTACATCATCAGCTCTTTACCGTGATTGGTGATCCACTGTGTGTCCGGGTGGGAACTCATGCGCAGATAGAGTGAGAGGACATCATATGATGTCCTCGCGAACAAGAGAGCTCCCACCCATCCATCATTTCCCTGTATGGCGGGCAGGAGGCCTTTAATAAAACTCAGTCACCATCCATTGTTCCAACAACATTCCCCTCATAAGCGCATTACTGGAGAGTACAACCCAGTCTATTCTCACCTCTTATTCACCTGCAGTAAAACACATGGCTGTGTCACTCAGAGTCTCAAAGATAATGTCTGCAGATAAAAGCAAAATTTATATACCTCCAAGGATTCTCCAAGTAGTGCCCATCGTGCCATGCACCGGTGCCTAACAAGCAGCAGCTGTGTCTAGGGCATGTTGGCTGTCCCTTCCCCTTCTTCCACCGGGGTGGACCAAGATGGCACTGAACCAGAAGTGGGCAATTGGAAGTTGCACAATCTCAGAACTTACATCGTCCTCGGGTGGATCACATGTCCATAGATTATACAGCTGGAAATAAGCGAACCCCGAATATAGCATTAGGATATTGCGAACACATGTCGGTCCCATAAAATAGGATCATATGTATGCTACGGTCCTTACTCCTATATCACAAAACCTCGCAATACAGAGTCCTCCAATCAAATGCCAGAAACAACACCACCAAGCGGTTTCACTCCAAATATCAATAAAATAAAGGGGGATTCTAGACCTAAGGGAAATAAGTAAAGAAAAGGGACATGAGCTGACAGTGCATCAAAACACAACTATCAAAGCAAAAAAACATGTATATACCTAACCGTACATAGATGGGTTTAACATTATCGATAAAATAGAAACAAACCAAAAAAATGTATACACATACAGATTGTTCTATCAGTAAGGTGTACTTGTTTACCAAGATAGTTTGTAGCAAAAATCTATTAATTCCTATTCCTGTACCACACAGGCATTACATATACAGGCTCAGAGCTTAATAACGGAGATGGATCATATACAGTATATCATATGTACTTAAATCTAATTTGAGTTCAAAAACTGCGCAAAACTTATAGAATCATTGAGGTCAGGTAACGCAGTCACTTTCAGGAGATACATCCATCTCGCCTCTATTTGTGATATAGTATGATCAAAGTCACCTCCCCTTGGAGGGGATGTATATGCTCTAATGCCACAAATTTTAGAGTCTTAGTATTATATTGGTGGACTTCGGCAAAATGCAGTGCAATTAGTTTTTCCACTATGCCATAGTTTATGTCACTGACATGATCCTTGATTCATTTCCAAAATTTACATTTTGTCTTACTGACAGAATGATCCACACCACATGTCATAAGGTAACAAATGCCTATTGTGTCACAATTAAAATGTTTTGGTTGAAATGACTGTAAATATGGAAGTGTTATCATCTTATTGCCATGCATTCATAGAACACAACTGTAAAGATATATACAGTAATTTCTTTGGTCTTTTCTCCCTCAGACTATTTATTGGGGGCAAGAAATTATTAATAATTATATGGTTATCTCTCACATACATGGGGTATTTCTGATGTTGCAGGTATCAGTTGAATATACAATCTCTATATGATAGTTATGTTCTTTCTTCTTTTTGTTTCAGAATTTGATTTTATATGATTGTATAATCTTCACAGCCATCTAAACTATTCATGTGCCTTGTTGGTCCTAAGGAAGCGGTGGAAGCCATGAAACGCATAGACTAATTAACAAGGACATACAGCAAATACAGTGGTGGTTGTGTTTCAATATATCTTGGATAAAACTTTTTTAATATATTGGAATAAAATTTACTTTTTTCTAAATTGTACTCTTTTTTTGTGTTGTATGGCTTCCAAAGGTATATCTAAAGTCCCACATATTTACATACTCCTCCTGTTGTGTGCAGGTAAAGTAACAGGAATGAGGAGAATGTCAGTGTTCTCTTGCTTAACTGGTGTATGGGACTCTCTCACCCGATAGGTGGTTTCCAGCAGGTCCTGCTGCCTCTCTCTAGGCAGATAGGGGCACACATAGGTTCTCTGACCTCATGTACAGCATTCCATCCAGTCACTGCACTTCGGGTCACCTGCTGGCAGACTGTCACGCTGAACAAGGTGGAAAGGTCAGCAGTCAGCTCATCTTTGCTTCTCCTCTCCCCGAATCTTCAGCCTGGTCCGGTTCTCTGGCAGTTGGCACCACTCTCTCTCTGCTTCCTCTCTCCAGCTCTCTCCCTTCTCACTTCATATCTTGTCTCCAAGGCTTCTGTATATATCTGCCCTCGTCCACACACCAGGACTTCTGGGAAAAGTAGTCCTCTGATACACTGCTCCCCGGTAAAGGTCCATGGGGCTGCTCTGCAAAATGTGAGAGCCACTGCACTTGCAGGACACTGCTATCCTGTGTTGGTTTTAAAATCCTGCAGCTGATATTACAGTTAGGGTGTTACAGGTGGTATGTGACCGTCTATTCACAGCTTTTCAGTATATGATTATGCAGTTGATCTTGTCTGGTCATCTTCTAATGTAATGTCAAAATCACGCACAACACAAGAAGTGCCCTGTAAAAAACATGTAGAATGGAACTCCAGCTCTATGTTTAAAATGTATATTCTTTGGCAAAATACATCCCGATAGTGGTCCTTTATTTTCTATACATTTCTTTCCCTTTGTATGTATACAGTGATTATCAGACAGTCTTCATGCTCTAGTATACTTGTTTCCTGTCTGGATGTCTGACGAGTTCATACCCCCTCCCCTTTCCCCCAGAGTTCCACAAACTAAAGGGATGACATAATCACGTGACTAATGTTTCCAATGGGTGTTACTGGTAGTGGAGTCATCTTCATGGAAGCTCGTTTATTTAAGCCCATAAACACTGATAGCATAGCATCACTGCCTTACTGCTCCCAGAGAAGAGATAGGAGAGGAAGAAGAGTGCAGCGGTTTCTCGACTATGACTTCTAACTTATTTTTTTGGCATTTAAGCTTTGAACAGAGGCTTGCAGGGTCAGTAAAAAGGCCTTACTTATGTGCCAATCAATCAATCTCAAGTACAGATGCTCTTCAATTGTAAGGCGGTAACTCTATGATACTTCTAAGTTTGGTTTCCAAAATTAGATGATATCCAGGCCCAAACTGGCCAAAGGGCACACCTGCCATTTGCTTGGTGGGCTGGGACTACCTGGATAGAAGGGGTTGTGGAGATGGAATATAGAGGAACTGATCTGTCCATTTCTCTTCTGTCACCACTGAATGCCCTCTTCTCCTCCATTCCCTCCTGCAGGCATTCTGGGGCTGCAGGAGAGAAATGGACAGATCGGTTCCTCTATATGCCGCCCCCCCACTGCCCCTCCTATCCATCTTCTTTATGCTGCCCCCAGGTCCCTGTCCTCTACCATGGTCCCCTGTGTTTTTTCCGGGCCCCTGTGTGCTCTCTCCAGTTCCCCCTCCTCCTAGGCAGTGCTGCCTGGTTTCCATCTCCCCTTTCCCGCTGGCTGCTGTGGGGGATCTGGTTATTAATCATTATAGATATGGTTAATTTAGAGACCTATCTTCCTTTCCTGTCTGATCTGAACACATGAACACTTGCTAAATAGCCAACACTTTCTTGGTTGTTTTTGGTGTTAATACACTTTATGGCCAAATGTTCGTGGACCATCACACCAAATATGAGCTTGAATGAACTTGTCAGACTTCCCATTCCAAAACCTTGGCCGTTAATTTTGAATTACCATTTCCTCCAACCTATGCTGGCTTTCCTAAAGATTCTGCAAAGTGTCTGTAGGAATTTGAACCCATTTAGAAAATTTTGCATTTGTGCTAATGCTAATATTGTACCAAAAGACCCAGCTTGCAATCAGCATTTCAATCGATGCCAAAGGTTGTTCACACCTGCTCTGATTTATAATGCCAAACCTACTATATCTCTGCAATGTCACCTGAGAACAATGAACAAATGGCTTAAAATATCAGACATAGACAATTAAAGTTTCCTGTGATGTCACCTTAGATGGCATTGTGGGGTTTTTAACCCAACAGACATTAGAAAATAGAAAGAATTAATGTTCACTAGTGACTATTTGTCTTTTAGACATATTAATACATGTTGCTCTAATCAATCTGCCTATTCACATGCTAATGGAAAAAGGTTGGTATGATAATACTACCTTCTAATAACACCACATGCAGCAATCCACTCTGCTAGGCACTCCCAGGGTCCAATCACTTAAGATCAATTAAAATCAGCATGAGGCTCTTTAATAGTCCTTTTATCCTCTTTAGTCTATTAAAATCAATAAATCATGAGCATGTTGTACAATTAGCTGCATGTATATATACTATATTTTGGGTGTAAAACCCTTTTTTCAAAAAGAAGTCATAATATAATAAATAAACAACATTAAATACCCAAATCACCACCAGACAGGTACTGATGGTTATGGAGTCCCAGTACAGAGTAGACCTAATGGTGAACATCTGTTCTCAATAAATAAAGAATTAGGACGAGTCCCTGTGTCAATTTTAGTTGTGCTCAAACACTGGTAAGATGAATGAAAAAATTTAAAAATAAGAAAAATTCACTTTACAGTCTCATCAGACTGAACATTTTTACAAATGTTGTTTTTGGCATCAGGCATTTTTTTCTGCATCCAGTAAACTCCCCAGCATGTTATCCTATGTGTCCATGCACACATAGGTTTTTTTTCAGCATTTTTTGTCAGGGACGTTTTCACCGGGAAAAAAGAAAATCAGAAGTACTGCATTTGAAGAAGTGTTTTTCGGCTGAAAAACACGGCTATTAGGCATTTATGAGAGTTTTTGAGACT